CCACCTCCAACCTGGGTCACCTGCAGAAGCCCTCCGTGCAGGCCCTGATCCACGGGCTGAATCGCCACTACTACTCGATCAGCATCAACTACCGCAAGAACGAGCTGGAGCAGAAGATGCTCCTCAATCTGCACAAAAAGTCCTGGAAGGATGGCCTGACGTTGTCCGACTACAACGAGCACTGTTCCATCAACGAGGACACCGTGGCCGAGATGCTCGACCTGGCCAAGAATTACAACAAGGTGGGTTTTAGCAACTGGGATGATGATTCATTCAGATTTAATGAGCTGTTTGATGAGTTGGGCAGTTTATTTCATAAAATGTGTCGAATTTGGTATGGAGAGTTTAAATAATGCTACACAACATCGATAAACTGGCATTATTCTTTAATATTTCCTAAGAAAAGTTGTTATTGTGTTTGATTATATTTAAAATAAATTCCCTTTCTTATCTTTCAGTCACTGGAGGACGAGGAGAAAATGACGCCCGAGCAACTGGCGATCAAGAACGTGGGCAAACAGGACCCCAAGCGGCATTTGGAGGAGAAGGTGGACAAGGTCATGCAGAACAATATTGTGCAGTGCCTGGGCGCCATGCTGGACACCATAGTCTTTAAGTAAAGTTTTGCATTTGCTTTCCCCAAACAATTTCCCCCTCATCCCACAAACCGCTAAGCTAATCGTATTAAAAGATAAAAACAGCTTTTGTTTAGAGCGAAGTTTTACACAAAGGAATTTTGTTGTGTAATTGTATGTAGATCAACTTGGTTTTGAAGAAAACATTTCGCGCCTGAGTCGTGACTTAGCAAAATTCCATGTCCAAGAATATTGGATTACCCAATCATAGAATGGTCACACTGCCAATAGCCAAAAAAGAAAACAAAATTATCCTCGAATTGCATATTATTTCGTCAGATTTTGTAGACTGGTGTTTTTTTTTACTGCGAATTTCATTAAACAACTACAGCTCTCTTGAGGGTCTTATCAGTTGCTGAAATAAGATGGCAGGAACAAGAACATTTGTTTTTCTAAGCTGTCTGATGTTATTGGGCAATGAATCAGCCTCTATTAATACCAATATCGAAATCTTTAACCTCATGCTTAGTGACATGGATGAAAATGCCAACCCGTGCCATAACTTCTACAATTCCTCCCAAAAGAATCTGGAATGGGGTGAATCTCCGACGGTAAACGCCCAGTTTCAAGTTCTATTCGAAGGACTGAAGAACCAATCCTTTAAAGAGCACAGCTTGGAGGAGAAAGTGCGACGTTTCTACCAAATATGTCTGGGATCGTCAAAGGCCCCAGGTCCTATAAAGTACTTTGAGCTGGTGCCACCGGGTGAAAACCTACCTTGGCCTCATCTTATACCCACAGGAAGTGAGTGGCCCAAGGAAAAGTTCAAATGGTTGGAAACACTGGCACGACTCCGTCGGTATGGCTTAAATGACATCATGTTTGGAATGAATGTAAGACTAGATCCAGACAGTGGACAACCCATAGTGGTTATTGAAAGAAAGTACAATTTCCGATTCCGTTTCCTCCAATCTTTACTTGGTCTTGGCCTCTCGCACGAAGTGGTTAAGGAAGTAGCGCCACTGGATTATGCCCTTCAAGAAATGTATACATTAGATAAGCAGTGGGAAGATGAGGGAAGAAACTCTCCAAAACGACGGATTAGTCTAAGGGAACTGGAGTTTTATGGAGTGTTCCTAACCGAATATCTCGAGATCGTCTTTGGTCGCAAATTTTCACCTGACTTTGAAGTGCAGATGGAGAACCAGTTCTATATGATGAGGCTCCAGAAACTAATGACGGCCGTCGACAACCAGGTGGTGGCCCATTACCTCTCGGCACGATTCCTCTTTTATTCGATGTTTACTCTAGGAAAATCCAAACATGGTGGTGCCGACTCTTGTGTGAATGCCATGCGCTTCTGCCTGGAATTCGCCAGCAATCTTCTATACGAGGAGCAGATTTTGGGACGCAGAAGGTTCCGTAGCTACATGAACCAGGCCGGAAAGGTGTTTGAAGCCATGCGCAATCAGCTCCTCATCAGGGTGGAAAGAAACTCTCTGAATCTTACGACCCTCGAGATAAACTCCCTGCAGAATCGACTGAAGAGTATGACCCTGAGCATTGGGAACCTGCCCGGAAAGGGCGGACACCGGCGATTTGTAACTGATTTCTATAAAGATCTGGAGTTTGAAGTTGACGAGGATCTCGAGACTGCCCAACTCAAGGTATTGAAGTTTCGAACGAACATTGAGTTGAGCCTTCTGGAAAACCCAGTTGCCAAAGGCAGGCGATACGTCATCCATTCTTATCCCATCTCAAATAATTTCTTCGAAACTGCAGTTGAGGAAGATGGCAACGCTATCTATTTGTCCTACGACCTTCTGGCGGATTCTTCGTTCGATCCGGACGCCCATGACATATTTAAGATGATTCCCCTAAGCATCTTCTTTGGAATGAAAATGTTAGGAAGTTTAAATATTGCAGAAAAATGCGAGAGGCATGACGTCAATTTACTCAACATGTTCGATGATAACCAGATTATTACCGGCAGATACACTTGTGCGAACTTATGGGATCAAAAATGGGAGCAGAACTTGCGCGAAGAGTATCTCCTGGTCCTGAATTTGGCCTACAAAGCCTATTTCGCAGAGGGTTCTAAGTTCAGCCAGAGACAACCCAACTTTACCTCAATGTCCCTAAGAGAGTTGTTCTTTTTTAGGTTTGGCCAGAGCAGTTTCGGCAAAAATTTGTATTTCCGAAGCGATTTCGTTAAGGGCGGTCCACCTATCAATTCGGTGACCATGCTCCCCGCTTTTGCTCAGACCTTTAACTGTCTGGATAATGAAAAGGTTCTCAACCAGAAAGATGGAACATAGTGATAAGAAAAAGTTGATACATACATTCTGTCTACCTCATTGTAAAGTGATACTATACATTACATATGTATATGATACGATCAAGATATTTCGTTTTCTGCTTTAGGCAACTATAAAATAAATACAGACATTTACAGAAACCGAATTGTTATTAATAAAAGCATATATTATATGAGTGTTTCAGTACAAACGATTTTTAATGGGTATGAATCAATATATTTTCTTTGACAAATAGTTGGCTGAGTAACAAAACATCAACTGAATGTTCCTTGTTAACGAATAAAAGGTATTTTCTTTATAGAGAACTCTTACAAAAAAAATGATTCGATTTTATTAGAACATTGTTTATTTATTACTTATCTGTAAGTATAGATAGACCTTATAACTAAGCGGCGGCTGCTGCTGCTGAGGGAATCGGCTTCCCCACCTCCACTTCCGCTTCTCGTCCCCCTCCTCCGAGCGACAGCTGTGGGTTGGTATTTTTGCCGCCACTGCTTTTCCAATCCAAGATGGCGGACAGGGGCACTTAGGCCCGCTCGCCTCGGATGCGTCTGGCCAGCTGGATGTCCTTGGGCATGATGGTGACGCGCTTGGCATGAATGGCGCACAGATTGGTGTCCTCGAAGAGACCGACCAGGTAAGCCTCGCTGGCCTCCTGCGAATTGCGCATTAGAAATGAGATCGATTATTACATGACCATGTGAAATGTAGACGAAGAGGAGCACCCCTCCGCCGACAACCACATTACCTGTAGGGCTCCAATGGCCGCCGACTGGAAGCGCAGATCGGTCTTGAAGTCCTGGGCAATCTCACGCACCAAGCGCTGGAAGGGCAGCTTGCGGATGAGCAGCTCGGTGGACTTCTGGTAGCGACGGATCTCACGCAGGGCCACGGTTCCAGGGCGATAGCGATGTGGCTTCTTGACGCCTCCGGTGGAGGGAGCCGACTTCCTGGCCGCCTTGGTGGCCAGCTGCTTGCGGGGCGCCTTGCCACCGGTCGATTTACGGGCTGTTTGCTTGGTACGGGCCATTTTTCACTTGGTTACACGTTCTCCAAATTAGTTGGGCTTGGTTTACGATGGAATTGATAGTTGACCGAACTGTACGAAATTTTCACGTCGAATGATTGGCCAGAGGGAGGGACGGAGTTAACGCGGGGATTCGAAGTGTGACCGTACTCTGGAAATGCTAAGGGGTATTCCTTTGGGTTAACTATTTGCCAGCTGTTCTCGAATCATCCTATAAATGGAGAGTTCAAAAAACAGCCTAGAAACTATCGAACAAATCCCCAACGGTCTTAAATAGATCGAATCGACAAGTGTTTCTAATCAAGAAGTTATTAAAGTATTGCATGCATATAAAATATTATTAAGTCTGTATTGATTGTATACATTTTTAAATCTCTGGGGAAGTTATTACATAATACGTTTAACCAGCAAAAAAAAAGGGGAATCGACCCCAAATATGTTTCGAAGATCTGTGATTAATATACATTTTTTATCGGTTAACTGTATATTAGACAACCTAATTTTATGTTTCAGTAATATTTAGAAATTCAATCGATAATCTCTAATTTACATCATTTAATCACATCACTATTCTACAATCGATAACGCACCTCGCCCACCTCTAGACGAAAGTTCAAAAGATAGCGGTACTTCCACATGCTGCCAAACCAAATCTTGACAAAGCTTTAGTTTTGACAAAAACTACCTTGACTCTACAATGTCCAATTACGAATTTGGAATCTGCCCGTACAACCCAGACCACCGTATCATGCTGTTCCGGATGCCCAAGCACATCGTCAAGTGCGAGAAGAACTACCGCGGACCGCCCCTGAAGATCTGCAAGTACAACGCAACCCATCGCGTTCTCGACATGGAGGATCACCTGAAGGAGTGTTCCTACTACCTACGCAGCATCGACAACCAGAACGTCCAGATAGCCCTCACCACTCGCATTCCGCCCATCCAGGAAAACGGATACGATGTCAGCACTCCACTCTAAGTTAAGAATATCTAGACACCCCCAACTTGTATACCATGTATATAACCCTACGAGAAGCTTCTTGAAGAAGCCCTATACATAATGTGTAAACCATATTTTCATTTTCGTTTGATTGCAATCATGTTATGATTTAAATACATTTATGCTGAGAATCTTAAATTAGAAAAGCAAAAGTTTTGGTATTTACAAGCCTGTTGCTATCGCATTGCACAAAGCCTGGGGTCAAATACTTTCGTCTGGCGTTTAAAACATTTGCAGGCACTTTTCCACAACTATGTACAGACTAAGATTAGGTCTACGACTAGCTACAGCATTACACCATATCGAGGTCCGATTCGGCCGCCTCCTCGTCGAGCAGTTTTCGCTTGTCCGTGGACTTGGCGGTGGCATCGCTTAAATTGGACAGCGGACGCACCTTGCCCAGATTAACGACCGGACTTTGGGTGTAGAGATAAATGGCGTAGGAGACCACCGCAATGGCAAGCGCGGTGTTCATGTAGATGGGTATGGAGAAGAGGAAGTAACACAGGACCGCCGTGAAGAGCAGCTCCAAGGCGCTGGCGAAAGTCTTCAGTATGGAGTTCATGTACTTGAGGAAGAAACTGGTGACAATGCCAATGGCGGCATTGTTAACAATGATGATCAGCACGCTGAAACGCATGATGCTGCCGAGATTCTGTGGACTGAAGGCATCCAGCAGCTCGCCGCGCAGCAGGAGGATGGCAGCATTGCAGACAATAGAGTCCAGGTACATGAAGACATTCTGCACAAAGATATTAACATCGGCGCCCTTGTCCTTCAGCAGATACTCGTTGTAAACGCCCGCCAGACAAGAACAAATCGTCTGGGCCAGTATGAAGACGGCACTCAGGCTGAAATCGAAGCCGGACATGTTCTTTCCATGAACCTCCGCCTTGTTAATGGCGGTTCGATTGAGTGAATGCTGTTGCTGGATGGCTGCCGACTCGCTGTCATCATTGGCGTCGCTGTAGAAGCTGCCGAAATCGATCTGCTTCATCATGCAGCCCAGGGTGAGCAGTATTAGGGAGATCCATTGCCTCTGCGACAGGTACTTCTTGAAGATAATTTGGAACAAAATGCCGGTGACAACGACACGTAGCTGTAGCAACAGATAGTAGGTGGTGGGGTCAAATGTGGCCAGGTTGACGAAGGCCAGGTTGTTGTACAGGCAATAGAGAAAGGCGGGCACCATGTACAAGGCCAGGACATTGCGATCCTTATGGACATCTCGTACCAATGAGCGTAGATTGTGGCTGCAAGAGATAGACACAGGATTAGTGGGTAATAATGGGAGATTCTTTAATGTTTCTACTAACTCCCGGCAGTACAGGCAGGTGGAAACTATCAGCTTAAAGACCTCGGTGAGCAGCACTACCGTGACGGTATTATAACCATAGGAGTTGTTCGATTCCTGGGAAGCTGTGACAAAGATGCCTGCAAAATAAAAAATTTGCGTGCGGCTTTAGCTTAATTGGGAGCTCCAAGGAGGGCAATACATACCCTGCCCTATAAATAGGGACATGTACAGCAGAAAGATCACAAATGTGAGTTTGGTGGGGAACAATTCACGCCAATTAGTCGACATTTTAGCGATCTTCGATTTGCCAGCGCTGCGTTGCGAATGAGAAACACAGAAGCAAGACTAACTTCGCCCACTTCAAATCGGAGCTGAAGCCTCTTGGCAACGCCTATCAGTTCCGCTTGTTCGTGACAAGAGACCCACTTTTCGGTTTACCAGGAAATGGAATTTCTTTCAGTCGTTTTTATCTGATAAACAAAAGTATATTTTGGGCCCTTTTTTTATCGCTCGCCCGAACAGCTGACACAGAGCAGTGTTGCCAGGCATAGTGTTGTAAAACGCCGCACTTCTACTGCAGCCGAGTTCACGTCGCCAGGGCAGCAGTCTTTTCGCTAACAATTCGTCAACATGGCAAATCGCGCAAATCGTCATGCTGCCCGCACCGAGGAGTCGGATAACACCATAAACTATGTCCAGTGCGACGGACTGGTGAGTACTGCTCCTGGCCAAAGGATCTGGCCGGGATGGGCCCGTGGAAACCGGTGCGGAAGCGCCAAAAGTTGATGCCACGCGCTGGCTCAAAAATTTGCCTGCTCTGGTTGCTCGTGTGTGTGTGTGCGGTGACATGGGCGTGTACTGAAGGGGGTCGGTTTACCGGCTTACTAATAAAGGGGAATATTGAAAAATTATAATTTACAGTAAAAGAGATACTAGTGAAAACTTTTATTTTGTAGTTCTAAAAGTAAATCTTGTACTTCATGGTTTAAAAATATATATTATTTGTATTGTTTATATATTATACAAACTAATATTTAAAATTCAGTTGTTTTTTATTTAATTTTTTTGATTCAATTTTTTTATTTTATTATTTCTTTGTTTTCGAACTTATAATTTAAGCATTTTTTATTTACCAGAGTTTTTTCCCAAGAAGTAACGCCCTTGTACGAATGCATGACAAAGGCGGCCCTCGCTAAATGATTTTGCACATAAACTAATATCTTTTCCCTCTTGCAGGCCGTCATGAAAATGGTGAAGCACTGCCACGAGGAGTCGAGCAACATGGACCTCGCCCAGGGCGCCCTGCTCGGTCTGGTGGTGGACAAGTGCCTGGAAATCACCAACTGCTTCCCGTTCCCCAAGAGCGGCGATGAGACCATGGACGAGGAGATGTACCAGCTGACCGTGATGCGTCGTCTGCGTCGCGTCAACGTGGACCATCTCCATGTGGGCTGGTACCAGAGCTCCGATGTGGGCAACAGCCTGTCCTTAGCCCTGCTGGAATCGCAGTACCATTACCAGACCAGCATTGAGGAGTCCGTCGTCGTGGTCTACGATACTCAGAAGTCCTCTCGCGGATTCCTCTGCCTGAAGGCCTACCGCCTGACGCCCCAGGCCATCCAGATGTATAAGGATGGCGACTTTACGCCCGAGGCATTCCGCACCCTGAAGGTGGGCTACGAGAGTCTCTTCGCCGAGATCCCCATCGTGATCAAGAACTCGCCCCTGACCAACATCATGATGAGCGAGCTGAACGAGCTGCTGCCCGAGGACAAGGGACACAACTTCCTGGATCTGGGCACTGCCTCCGTGCTGGAGAACCAAATGCGCAGCCTGATCGAGCGCGTTGACGAACTGTACCAGGAGGCAGTGCGCTATAACAAGTACCAGCAGGTTGTCTTCAAGCAGGATACGGTAAGAAAACTCGTTTCCAAATTAGTATTTAAAATCAAATGTCTTATTGCAAGGGTTTTATGAAAGATTAGTTATTGGAAAATAATTTTAGAAATTGCTCTAAAAAGAGTAAAAATGGTTGTAGATTCAACAATAATTTTTGTTTAAAGACCTAATTTGCCACTTAAACAATGAAGACAATAATTACTTTCGTGCTGAGTAGCATAGTTAGAGTTTATGTACACGGTTTCGGAGTCAAAGGGCCATCAAAGCGAGGAGTCGTATGTGGTGTCTTAGTTAAAAATACATTGCATTGCATTGGGTCTTAGATAAACAAAAATACACCTTCAAAAATGGTTGTTGAAGGAAAAATAGATTCCGTTTCTAAAGTTGTGATCGCCGTTGGCATCTTAGACAACTGAGGTCAAATTTAAATATGAATGCATATTATAACCTGACTAGGCACCCAATATTCAAAATAGTAATTTATCTTATTGCTTTGTTTTCTTTTCTAGGAGAAGCACCGAGCTCTGGCCAAGTTGGCCGCTGAGAACGCCGTTCGCACCTCGAAGGGCGAGCCCACGGTGGCCGAGGAGGAAGTGATCAAGCAGTTCCGCCCCATGCCCGTGCCCGCCCGTCTGACGGCCACCATCACCTCCGGCCAGATCAACACCCACGCCCAGCACATCGCCCAATTCTGCTCCCAGTCGCTGGCCAAGCTCTTCATCACCGAATCGTTGCAGAACGCCAAGGAAGCCAAGGAAATCAAGTAGACTAGCTTATGTTAAACGTTTTTTAATCTGAGGCAACAACATTCAAACTTCACAAACCTAGCATCTGCGCACACTAATGGCGAGAATAAACCAAAACATTGAGTGTGTTTGGAAGCGAAACACCAGCTGACTGTTTTCTTTATTGTACTCTCCGAGGGCTGAAAACAGTTTCTATATAAAGCGCCCCCAAAAAGAAAAACCACCACCCATTGTAGCCGCAGCCTTGCATTTGCGCACACCGTGTGTTTGGATTTAGTTTTCCGTCACATTTTCCGGGGGAGTGTTGCAGCCGCTGACGACATCAACGCACTTTTCACACACGTCGGGCAGCTGCTTTTACCTTGGTTTGTTCTTTTTTTTTGCTTCGCGATTTGCTAACCCGCTTTGAATTAGCCTTAAAACGTGCACAATACTAACCCAATGGCAAAATGTTGTCCTACGACCTCAACGAACGCCTGCTGACAGCGGTTCAAAGTGGGGACTTTGAGCAGGCGCTGGGGTGCATCATGCAAGGTGCCCAGGCCTCGTATGTATCGCCCACATGCGGCCGCACAGCCGTGGGCACGGCAGCCATCCTGGGCGATGCCGAGCTACTGGAGCTCCTGGTGCAGTCCTGCGAGGAGCCCGAGCTGGATGTCTTTCACCAGTGTGAGTTTCCTGCTGGCCCATTAATGAAACACTTCCGGAAAAATAAATTAATTAATACTACCACTACTACTTCCGTATAATAAAGTGCAATTGTGATGATTAAGAAAAGTGTACATACATTTTAGGCAGTGACTAGAATGTGTTTTAAAGTTGAAAAAGGTTTTTTAATTTGCCAAGAAAGCATTTCATCAGGTGAACAACAGCTGGCCGGCAGAAAATCGATGAGCAAAGGGAAAGGGCTCGAATCCAGCCATTTGTTTAGAAAAAGTTAAATGAATTTAAAATGTTTGGTATCAAAAGTAGTGTACGAAGCGAGGAAAACATTTGTCTTTTATTTTTATGTTATGCTCAAATATTATTTTTGAGTTAAAATATTTTATTATATTTTATATTATTTATATTATTTTATCATATTTTATCATATCATCATATTTTTATAGTATAACAATTTTTTTTCGTGTAGTCATTGACCTAGATTGACCCGAACTCGCCTCTTTTCGGCTGTCCAACTTAATGCAAGCACAGAGAAAAAGCAAATAGAGACGGCGGAGAGCGGAAAACCGGTTGTCGGTGTCTGTTCTCTAGCTGATAACACGGAAAACTTGACAATGAGAGTTCAGTTCCAATTGCAGTAGACCGTATGAGTTCTATGTGACATGAACAGAGATCGAAAACTGTCCAGATAAAGTAACCAATTCAAAAGAATCAGAGAAATACAAAGTATTTATGTTCAAAATTGTTAAAAATTTATTTAAAATTCCAGCTCACACGGATACCCTGGAGATCGAGCGGACCCCCGAAGGTATGGAGAAACTGGAGTGGGTGGATGAGTTCGAAAGCTGTTCGGAGAATGGAGGCGGAAGCGGAGGAGAAGAGAGCCAGTTATATCAGTATTACGCAAAAACTTTTGAGAACACCGGAGAGTTCATATCCCAGTGCTGTGTCTCCTGCCGGGAGCAGGATCCTCACCTTTACGATGCAGACTTGGCCACTCCCTTGCACTACGCCGCCTGTTGGGGGCACGAGGAGTGTGTACGAATCCTGCTGGAACACAGTGCTCCCATCAACGTGGTCAACAGCGAGGGCTATGCTCCACTTCATGTGGGAGCCGGTTTCCCAGGGGTCACCAAGCTACTGATCAAACATGGAGCTTTGGTAAATGCCAAAACCCTGAGTGACGGCAAGACCGCACTTCATGTGGCCATCGAGAGCAAGTCGCCGGAATCCGCCCGCTTGCTGCTCCAAACCAATATCAATATCAATGACACGGACGACGAGGGTGAGACTCCATTGATGACGGCCATTGCCTGCAGTTTGGTGGATCTGGCTGAGGAGCTGGTGGAACGAGGAGCCCGTATCAACATCCAGGATAAGGAGAATCACACGGCTTTGCAGTATGCGGTGAGGGGTCATCATGTCCAGATGGTCAAGCTGCTTCTGGAGCGCGGAGCCCGCCGACTGGCTTCCCAGCATCTCTTGCATGTTGCCGTGGAATACAACGATCGGGAGATAGTGCAACTATTGCTGCAGTACGGAGAGAGTTTGTCGGTGCGGGACAGCGATAACTTTACTCCCATCATGCTGGCCATCCATCTGCAGCGCCCCGAAATGCTCGAGTATCTTCTAAGCGTAGCCGAGGAGCAGCGAAAGCTGGGTCTCTACTCGGATGTCCAGGATGAGGGTCTGGTTTTATTCGCCGTGCAGCAGATCGATTGTGTCAAAGAGTTCAGCCTAATCCTGCGTGTATTGCTCGCCAAACTACCCAGCGCCCGTAAGGACTTGTATGGCTGCGGTGCTCCCACAATCGTTTGCGGTTTGATCTTCTGCCAAACTCCACTGTCGAGGGCCATAAATCTCCATCGCCTGGAACTAGCGGAGTTCCTCATCCACGAGGGCTGCAATCTGGCGCAGATTTGCCGGGAACATGTGGTTAATGAGCTGAGAGCCAATTGCTCGCCTACTAGTCTGGCCTTTGCGAGGTTACTGTGTAAGTTAAGGATAAATTAGGATTGTTTACCCAAGTTTTATAAATTGTAATGCAATTTTCGATCTTCAGGCAACTCTGGCTTCCTGTTCCCGCACAAGCATCGAGCTCTGCCCAAGGATTGGCCACCAGTCCGTTTGGAATTCGAGCGGGAAATGACTTTGTTTGGCAGCCAACCACGTTCTCTGCAATCCCTCGCTCGCCTGCATATTCGCAGAAGTCTCCTGAAATCCCTCCGAACGAGTCCAGAGTTACAGCAGAAGTATCTTCCTACCCGGGAGCGGTCTTCGCTGGGTAGGATCGTAGATGAGTTCGACATACCCGCCACACTGAAGCTCTACCTCAGCGACTTTGCCGAGCTTCCCCTCGTAAGAAAAACGGAACCGGCCCAGTTACCTGTTATAAGATGCACAGAGTCTTGGGATTGATTGCGCTTTAGGAATTTATTCAGATTATATAGGTTTTATAAATATGGTTATATGGTATGTAGCATAAAGTTTTTGTATATTGGCGTCGAGTGTGTAGGAAGATTGTGTAAAGTATGTGTTAGGACTTTATATTTTCCTTAATTCTGCAACACCAGATGGATCAACACCTTCGTTACACGACTCTGTGATATTAATTTTGTTAGTATGTATTACAAATTTCAATGGAAATTCCACACAATTTCGAACTTTCAAAAGCCTCTTCTGTGTGTACATCCTTCGGGGCACAAAGTTTTCATCCCTTGCCTAATTTACTTGCACATTTTATGTTTACTAGGCATGTTTTCTAGTCTATTTAGATGATTTATCTGATGTATCCACTAGGTTATTTGACTAAGCCAACGTTAAGATTACTTTTCCATATACAATCGATCTCTCACACAATGCAAACTGAAAAGTATGCAATTTTTAAAGTAGGATTTTACAACGATATCGGGTGCAATTTTATAGAAAACGTGTTAACAGACTTAATAAACAAAATAAAGTTTTAAAAGAAAACATTTTAGTGCTTAAACTATGAAGAATACATTTATGCCGAACGGTAGGGGTATGACGAGCCGAAGCCCTTCTAGGGCTTCAGCAGTAGCTTAAAGTCATCATTGGCGTTCTCCGTGATGTACTCAAATGCAATTTTATCCTTCTTATCCTTGACCAGTTTGAGTGTCGGTTCCTTCTGCAGCAGAAAGCGACACACCTCGAGGTGGCCCCGCATTGCAGCCCGATGCAAGGCAGTCTGTCCGCACTCATCCTGCAGCAGAAGATTCGCCTTGTGCTCGGCCAGTAGCTTCACAATGTCCAAGTGGCCTGGGAATTTGAATAACCGTTAGTATTAAATTAAGAGGACATTTAAACGGCGTTGACTAACCCATCATAGCTGAGCGATGCAGGGAGCTGGCTCCTGCCTTGGTCACAGCATTCACATCTGCCTTGCCTTCTTCGAGAAGCAGCTTGCAGATGGGCTCGTTGCCATTGCGGGCCGCATAGTGCAGAGCCGTATAGTCGCAGTCATCCCGAGCCATAGACTGGCCCTTCTTGATGAACTCCCTGACGCGTTCCACTTCGTTATAAATAGCTATAAAGGAGGGAAGGTATCAGTTAAACCAAATGACTATAAACCACCATTTATAAGCAATTCCTTACCAGCATTCCAGATGCCCCGATCGAAGTCCATGTCGCTGAGCGTCTGCTGAGCCGGCTGCGTCTGCTTGTGGCACTTGCAGTTGTCCGCGCTATGGGGATCCATTTTAGCCTTCTGATAATTTCGAGTTTCGTTACAATTCCGAATTCCTTGCCTTTCCTTGTGCTTTCGTTTCCAGTTGTCTGATGCTTGACGATGTGACAGTGTGATCGCGGTCAACCAAATTAGACCTCACGCTGCATGGTCCAACAGATCTCAGCTTCGCCGCAACTGCAGACAACCTTGTAACTTAGCTGGGCCAGAGTGTTTAGCATAACCATGGGCGGCACTGCCACCATAATACCATTGACGCAGGCCTTAACTCCACTCTCGAAGCGCTTGGACAGGGCTTGAACTTCCGCCTGATTCAGGCCAAAGATGGTGCAAGTGTAGTCGTGGAGAGATCCCTTAACGGTGATGTATGCGAAATTTCCCTCCGACTGCAGAATGGGTACCGGAATGGTCACCACATTGGCCGGAACGGCGGGGGCGTTCAAGGATACAGCCGACGCCGCGGTCACCACCGCCGCTGGTAGCTCGCCGATGAGATTCTGAGCTTCTTTCAGACCGGCCGCGCCCTCACTCATAGTTCGTTCGTCTTCTGGGACTCGGTCGGTCGCCGCCTTCGCTCAGAGTATATGTTTTGGAACAGTATTCCCTAGGTTACTATTTAGTTTTTTACACTGAAACACGCACACGTCGCACACAATTCATACACACACAAAATTATACAATTAGAGTAGAGTTGTTGGTTGCTTTGCTGGCTTTTATCGGACTGGCTTCCCCTATTCGGGCGAATCCACCTTGTGATAGTTTCCTAAACTGGCTGCCTCGCGGCCAATATTCGATAGGTTCTCTCGCACCACGGACTCAGCTTCCAGGGGTTCCGGCTCGTCGAACTCCTTGCGCATCGTCCACATATACTCGTTGTAGTCCTGCTTCACGGCCGTCGATGAACTGGCCACTACGCGAAATCCCAGGATCTGAAAGGGAAAAGGCGGAAAACCATGAGTCACTGAGTTGTTGTAGGTAATTACGGGGAAGGTACTGTTAGTTGTTGGTAAGGCTAAACGTTCTCCTACTTTAAGATTAAAAAAAATACTTGTAGGCTTATTAATTTAATGGACTTTAATGTACTTTTCGAACTGATAAAATTCCTCTTATCTTAGTAGATAGTAGCCCTTAATCTAAAGAACATTTTTCAGTTATCTTTTAAATTAAATTCCCTTTTACTGGGTATACTATGAGTAACTAAAAGATACAAACTATGGAATGTTACAAACCGAAATACTCTATGTTTATCACACAAATTGTTGATTTAATAAGAGGAAAAGGATTCTAAAGTATTATTTACACAAGTTTTTTATGTGGATCGTTGTTGAGATACAAATATTTGTAGAAAAACATTTGAAATCGGACTATCTGTTTACAGTACCTCAGTCACAACTCCTCAAAGGTACAATAACCTTATGCACTTGCTGGGATTACTCACTTCTAGCGCCGATAGAATCCGACAAGGATGCACTAGGTAGACAATGGTGGACTCGTCACTGTAGCCGCCGCAAGAGAACTTGTTCAACTGCTCGATGTCGTCAGCTGAAAGAATTCACGGTGGAATGGGCAATGGTTATCTCGGGTGCTATTACTTGGGAAATGGCTTTCCCTTTCGTTTACGGTGTGGCTAAAATGTTTAAACAGGGCAAACAAAAGATAGATAACACGGTTGGGTTGGACGATGACGTCAGCCCAGGGCCATTGTCTTTCGGTGTGAGTGTGCTAATTAAGCGAAATGGCAAAAATTATTGACTGCTGTTTCATAATAAAAGAAAAATGGGAGTTTCTCGTGTATTCTTTGTGTCTAGACCCCGGTGCATTGACTTCTGCCCAGCACAGATAAAAGTTCCATAAGTATGCACCGGAATTAAGTCGATATAAGGGGTGTACATACGGGTCTTTATATATAAACTGCAGACCCGGTCTGCCAAGCGAACTGCACGCAGCGAAAAACAAATCCAAACTGACGAAGAGCTCGTATGAGGGAGCAAAACTTCGCACAGTGCCGGTCGTAAATAGCGGAAAGGTGCGGGAAGGCGGGTTTTTGGGGCCAAATGGCATGCAATTAAAGGGCAGCTGTGGTTTTATGGAAAAAATATATTACGGCAAAGTGCTAAAATATTGCCCAATGGTTAGTTGCTAACCGAAAATTTAAGATTTTTTAATATTAGTACATTTTCTATCAATGACACATAGATTTTTTCGCTTATATCAAGGGTACAACTTATTTTTTATAAAATTCGATTATAGAAGTCATATACAAAATATTTTTTATAAAATTCGAATAGGAGTCTTTGAAGTGGTTATCCACAGAATTAATTTTTAATCCTAAAATATTTTTGGGGCATCGGGTAATAATAAATGTACTTATTTCTGGTACTCAAAGTGTAATTCTAAGAAAAAAATATTTTTTGATGGTTTAAAACAGCTAGAGTTCGAATAAACATGCATATTATTTTAACCACTATTGTGTATTCATTCAATAAATGGTTTGGTGTGTCAAACAGTGAAGGGCACAAAAAAGGAAGAGTGTCCCCAAGCTTCATGCAACAAAGCCCAGCTAAAACTTAATAAAATAAATATAAACAAATTTCTGAAAATAACAACTACTAGCAAGCTAATTTTGCCGTCACTGTGTAGCCATTCAAAAAGTGTTTTTTTCGTACTGCAAAGTGGAAAGACCGAAACTAACGCTCAAAAAGCTAGCGTGATGTGCTCGTATGCGTGGAAGTATATCTGTGTGTTCGTATCTGTTTGCCAAGCTCTCGAAATTAATTGTGTCGCAATAGTAAACACACGAGAAAATAAAAGCGAAACGAAAATGAGATATTGTATCTACGGGACTGAACGGTTCGTTTCGATTCGGTCGTTACCTTTCAATCCGGAGACGAGCACTCGCCATGGATATTTGTGGCTGTAGGAGGCTAAGTTCCCCCGTATGATAATGTACGGCATTTGGCCTGATTACTGCTGGTTATCTTCGGATTAATTAGCGCGGGCGTGCCAACGAAAAACCGTAAAACGTAAGTGAAAAACAAATGAGTTATATAGGCAAAAACGAATCTGGGGGGTAAGAAAAAAGCTCGCTGTTGCGCTGCTGAAGGTTGACTCTCGACTGAAACCGAAATCGGGTTCCACGTTTCGACCAAGAGGTTTTCCCAGCGTTAGCTTAACTGTTGTGGTTTCTTTTTTTTAGGCGTCGCGCAGCGTGGCTCTCTGAAATGGTTAGCAGCTTTTTATTGGATTAGCCTACGGTGTAAGGTGGCAGATACCCAAATGACAAAGTGACGCATTCGGCCAGGATAATCATCCATGTGATACACGATATGGTCTAGCCAGCGGCGAGGGCGGTAAGTATAAAAGGGCGTTGTAGTATTTACATGAGGGGTTCTTTCACAAGCAAGTCAAAATATTCACTCATTCATTCATTTCAAAAAAAATTTTATTTTTTATATTTTAGCAAGGAGTGTTGATTTTTTTTTATAAAATTTGAGCTTGAAAATGGAAAAATGACGTTGCTACATTTGTAGGCTAGCATCTACGATCATAAATCTCAAAACATTCTATGAAAAAAAACTTTGATTGTTCCAGATGTTTTACAAATTTGTTTATTTCTTAAAATTTGTAAACATGTTTGAATTTGTATTATTCAAAAAAATTACTTATACAAAGAATCACATTAATATTCGGTTTTTGTATGATAATTATATAAATTTATAAGCCATACACGATAGTAGAATGACTAAATTAAATTAAAATAAGTTACATACTCATATTCCCTAGTGTAAATCATCTTAAAAAAATTTAATTTTCCAAATACCATCCTCCGATCCCCCTGGAAATCGACTGACGACACCCCTGTGCGTTTATCTTTCTCCCTCACACTCGTCATAAAGTCGTTCCCCGCGACCAGTTGCATGCCAAGCTTTAGTCAGGGACTATAATTACTGACCTGACCGGTCGACTAATGAGTAAGTATTTCTGTTGCTCGGCGCCAGGTGAAAATAATGATAAAACCAAAATAAAAGTCCACCCGAGCCGGTCAACAACTCCTACACAAATACATAGGAAATCCAACAGAGACTGGCACACACACAAGCAAACCTAAAGTCCTGCCAAAAATACACGCACACCTATTCCGCTCAAGTGTCCTTTGCGTGTTTGGGGCTCACAAAATGAACGCGAATTATGATCAAATTTCCAAATAAATAAACGCGCGGCTCCAAACGAGCTTTATGCCACACAGCTGTCGCAAAATGATGTCATTTGAATTTAATCATCTGCGTTGCCTTTCTCTTCTTGATGTTTTTTTTACGCTGAGCAGAACTTTCTTTACGCTTTTCGTTGTAATAGCTCACCTGGTCCTTTTATTGGGGTAGACCTGTAACTAGCCTGAAGATCCTTTGCCTGAGCTGTGATTTACTTCTTAATTGTTTTATGTTTGCGGAGAGAAAAACAAAATTTCAACAAATTCGCAACTCGCAAACTAGCGAAGGGCTAACCACTCACGGTTATATCGATTTATCGGGGTTTTTGTTTCGATAGTAAGCGGCTTGCTTTTTGGTTGTCAATTTCTTTTCAATAATCACATATAGTAGTGATTATCATGACATTACCTCAATCCCCTCTGTGCTAGATTTATTCTTATAAACATAATTTAATTAGTTTTATATATTTTATACACGAATATATCACTATTAACTTTTTCCCATCTCTACTTCAAATTTGCAAGCCGTGCAGTGTTGGTAAGCAGGGAGAGAAACCAGGGCTACAGCGATAATGATAAATCGATAGTAAACAGATGTCTATCGCTAGGTTACACTTTTTGCCTCTTCGTTTTTGTATTGTCAGCGGAAATAAATAAACGTATATTTGCCTAAGATAAGACTCAACTACTAGAATCCTAAATTAAACTAAATGCGAATAAAGTAGCCCCGAAGCTGAAAGCAAATCTCTTAAGATAAATGTTAGTGGTTAAATAAATATTACAGTGATTCCCGAAGACAACAGCTGTCGGTCTGCTGGGTGGGTATTTAAATTCGAAAGATAGATTTTTTTGGACTGACATTTGCATATTTCAGAAGCTGGCGAAAGGTGAACTGAGTTCATTGTGTTGTTGGGCATTACGTGTGCGTCCATCCGATCTTTCTCCCTCTCATACTCCCCCTCCTCACTCGCATCCCCATCCGCTCAAGTGCTCGGGAAGCTGCCAAAAAAAATAATCAAAGAGAAGAGGAACACGCCGCTCGGCATAATCAATTAAAATGCCTAGAAATCTGCCGCTTTTCCCGCTGGCCCTGTGCGCCATCGCCTTCCTGGCCGCCGTGGGTCCCATGCCCGCCAACGGGGCGGTGGCCAACAGCCACAAGCACGAGAAGCACATCAGCAAGGAACGGGTCAAGGACGGCATCTACGCCCCCCGGGACGCCCACCACCACGGCGAGGATGGGGAGCACAACGTGGAGTTCGACCACGAGGCCATCATCGGTGAGTCAGCCTTGGAAAACAGATCATCATCTTCAGATCATCTTCATCTCGTGAACTCATAAATCCAAAAAGGGGGTACACTCTTCAAAAATATTTTAAATTTTAATGCATTTTATTTTATTTTCTACTGTTAATTTGTTATTAATGACATTTTACATATCCAGATACTGCGAAATTCGTGGGATTTGGTTTTCCGCCAGGTTTATTATAGGGATTAAACCATATACAAATTTCAACCGTTTGTGTTTGAAAAATGTTTTGTTTTTCAGGTATAGGAAACAAAAAATTTTTTATTTCAAATTATTCTTCCAAAAATAAGTGTGCTTTTCCAACCTTAGGACACCAACTGTTTAAAATTTTTAAAATTTCTTATAGTGTATGCTCTGGCGATATGTTTGTTTACTTGATTTTGGTTTATTTTTGTGGGTCCGCACATGGAAAGAATCATTCAAACATCTAGAGAGTACGGTTCAATCATAAGTATATATTCCAATTTATGTTATGAAAAAATATTTTGAGTGTCGTCAAATATGCATATTGATGGATTCCGCATTTAATATAGGCAGTTTTTTCGAAATTCATTTTTGTGAATATTTAGATCTCATTTTTTTCCGCTTTTATATCGAGTTTTCCGCCCAGTGCTTCCATCGTAAAACCATTAAAATTGTTTTCCAAAAGCAACACGTCAATGGCATTGCTCCTGCTTTATGTTCCATTGAACTCTTCACGCTTATGTTCTATTATTAATTTTTGACAACACTAGGCAATACGAAAGAAGCTCAGGAATTCGACACACTTACGCCGGAGGAATCAAAGAGACGTCTGCTGATACTAGTCAAAATGATGGATCTGAATAAGGACGAATTTATTGACCGGCATGAGTTGAAAGCCTGGATATTAAGGTCCTTTAAGTGAGTGTTGTCTGTTGATTAATACTGCATCGATGTTGGCCAAACTAATAATCTCCTCGGCAACTTAATGCTTCGCACTTGCTTAACTAAAAAAAATCCTTTTAAGACCTTACTAAATTAAATAACAACCTTTTAGAAAACTGTCCGAGGAGGAAGCCGCCGACAGATTCGAGGAAATAGATCAGGATGCTGACGAGAAAATAACGTGGAAGGAGTATCTGCTGGACACCTATGCCATGGAGGATGAGGACTTCAAAAAGGAGACCATCGACTATGACAGCTACGAGGATGAGCAGAAGATGATCAAGCAGGACAAGGAGATGTTCAATGCGGCCGACGCGAACAAGGATGGAGTTCTGACGCTGGAGGAGTTTATTTACTTCCAAAATCCCGAAGAGCATCCACAAATGTTGCCCATACTGCTGGAGCACACGATGCAGGAGAAGGACCTGGATCACGACGGCAAGATCAACTTCCAGGAGTTTGTTGGCGACTCTGCCTCGCAGCATGACAAGGAGTGGCTGATCACGGAGAAGGAGCGATTCGACAAGGATCACGACACCAACGGCGATGGCGTGCTCACGGGCGATGAGGTCCTATCCTGGATTGTGCCAAGCAACACGGCGATTGCCAACGACGAGGTGGACCACCTGTTTGTCTCCACCGATGAGGATCACGACGACAGGCTGTCCTACCTGGAAATACTCAACAACTACGACACCTTCGTGGGCAGCGAGGCCACCGATTACGGCGACCACTTACAGAACATTAACCATCTCTCCGACGAGCTGTAGATCCCAGCCAAAGCTCCATCCTGCTATAGTGAACCTGTGCTTAGTATTGTATTTCATTTGTATAGTTAGTAAATTTATGTTTTATTTATGTAATTTCAAATCAATATCGCTAAATTGTTTTGAGCGCTTCTCACGAATTTCATTTTCATGTCTAATGTCTGGTTTGTCATTTACAATTACATTATGTGTAGTAATTTATAGACACAAACAAAATCTACAAAAATCATAATAAATAATTTTTACTAAATTATTTACGGTTTAAGTGCTGGACTTTTACATGTGCTTACAAGTTTTTACATTTTTCATTTGCTTTATTTGCAATATATGACTAGAAACGTTGTCGTTTTATTAAATTACATTACTTAGACTTTAATTGCTGACTGCGATTATACAAAATTAGTTTAGCAGCGTGTTCTTTTTGACTAGATTTCACACTCGTCTGTACTGGAAAATATGCTTAGCTCTAAATTATTTTGCGGTTCTCTAGCAAGCACTTGAAGCCCCAAAATACGATTTCATTTACTCTCCTTCCTTATATCACAAATATTGCACCGAATTGGCCTATTTCCCCACATTTTTGCTAGAAATTTTTAACAAAAAGCTAAAAACAAAACTGAAAATCGGATTATCCACATTTTGATAAATCCATATGCTTAACAATACGGTACACAAAACACGCTATACAACTACTACGAGAAATTTACATGTCCCAGAGGCACTGCATCGTTGCGGATGCGGAGTGCACTCCATTCTGATGGCACAAAACAGATTCACGGGCCGCTTACAAATCATAATTCATTATGCACATCTCCAGCTCATTGACCTGGGGGCGAGGACGTACTCTATAAACTTAAGCTAAACTGGGACCGGGCTTCGTCGGATCATCGGAGTGGATGCTCCGGAGCTCTACAAATCACACAGTATATCGTAATTGTCTACCTGACGCAGGGGCTCCATCTCGTCGATCACCTCTCCCAGATAATCACTGATGGGCAGCGGCAGCTTCAGCTTCTCCAGCTGCGATGCGCTGCGCACCCGCCGCATTATTACCGCCCGGCAGCGATCCTGTAGGTTGACGAACTCCCTCCGGGTGCACTTCAGGGTCATCTCCGTTTTGGCGGCCGTGGAGCATACGATGGGGTACAGGGGTTCATCAATCTGGAGGGGATTAAAATATATTTTTATATGAGTAAGGTATTTTTAAATACTGGAAGCTTAAGAATAAGTTTGTATTCAAGATATCTCTTAGGATATCCAAACATATAGAAAATATGACTATTTTTAGGGACTTTGATGATACAGAATTTCATCAAAATCAATTCGTTTCTTATAAATTTGTGTATCTGTGTAGTCACAGTTTGCTATATTTTTGTTTGGCTCATCCTTCCGACTTACCTGATCCAATCCTCTGAAGGCTACGCCCAGGCACTTGCCATCCTTGTAATACGTGAGTGTTCCCTCTATGCCATCGAAGAGTACTCCGATCTGGGTGGGATGGTTTTCGCGGAAGCGCTTTGTGTACAGCAGGGCCACGCCCTTGTGCCAAAGGACGCCCTTGTGGGACAGTCCCCAGCCGTGCTCGTTCTCGCCCAGCATGTTCCGGAAGGCGTTGGCATGGAGGCGGGCGGACTTCGTCCCGATCCCGAACATAATCGAGGTGCCAAAGACACGCTGCGAGACATGCAGCTCCCAGTAGTAGCGACCATTGTTCAGGGATCGCTTGCCCTGGACGCCGGCGGTGCCCTTGCTCCAGTTGGGATGAAAGTGCACTGTTCGGGAATTGGGTCCGCTGAGCACCACCTCTTTGGAGCGATGCCGCTTGCTCCACGTCCAGTTGTCCTCGACGCCCTCGGGCAGTGGACAAAAGCGAGTTGGCGGTAACGAGGCTGAGGATGAGGACGAGGTCCCGGCCTCCTGCATGGCCAGGCAGCCACCTCCTCCGCGACGACCGCTGTGGCGACGCCTCCTCGGGGCTATGGCCACCACGGGTAGAGCCGGCTGTGGGTCCACTTCCACATCAGACATTGTTAGTGTGACTAGAAATTTTTGTTTGGCGAACTCAAAGAATTTAGACAAAGGGCGTACTTCAAATCGTTTTGGGGATGTGTGTGTCAAAAGGTTGAGCAAGCTGGGGGTTGTTGTCTTTCGTCAGGGCTCTCAAGTTGTTGGAATTGATTAAGGAGCGGCTTCAGGGGTTGCGTCTTTACCTCGTGAGGTCCTCTTTTGATGAAAGCTTGGATGGAAGTTCTTTCTTCGGTTTATCTAGTGGTTAACTGACTATTCCTTTTTCTTTTAAATCTACCTTTAAGGCTAAGGACTAGAATTCTTTTTGGGAGCCTTTCCTTTTTGTATCTAAATTTTCAAATGGTAAGTTCTCTATTAGATATTCCAATAATTTTGGGGCTTAACCACCGGTTAAAAATGTTTTGGTTTAAAGGTGGCTGGTTAGCAGGGGTTCTTGAATCTCCTCCTCCGGATAAACCTGCTGCTCCATCTCCCCTTGTAACTGCTGAGGATCCTCCTCCACCTCCTGTGGAATCTCCTCTAGAATCTCCTGATCCAATGAGACTAACTCCTCCTCTTGCTCCTGTGATCCCAAGCTGGTCAACGATGCGTAGCCACTGCTCAGCGAACTGCTGCTCCAGCTGGAACTCAATCTGGCAGGTCGATAGCTCCTCACCGGCTGCAGATGCTGCTGCTGCTGACCGATGGTCCTTTTCAGCTCCCGCTTGATCCTTCTGATCTGCCGGAAGTCCTGCTCACCACCGGAACCCCTTTGCTTGTGCAGCTGCAACTCCTGCAGATGAAAGTGATGGCGACAATAGCCCTGTGGACTGTGGGCACAAAACCGACAGGCCTCGGAGTTGGCGCCACCGACAAGCGGCAGGATGGGCTCGAGGATGCGGCGCTTCTGGCTGCGCTTCTGTTGCTCCAACTGCTGCTCCGCCAGGCGCTGTGGTGCCTTACGATCGCCCACCGTCTCGGCCACCTCCTGGAGCAGGCGCACGTTCCTGGGGAAGCATCGGTCGTGGACGTAGAGCACGATTCGTTGGCAGTAAACGCACAGCGAGTGGAACAGCAGCAGCAGGACGATAATCATAAATAGGGGTTGGAGTTGAGTCTTGGTTTTTGGGGGGTTGCTGCTGCTGCTACTGCTGCTTCTGCTGCTGTTTCTTGAGGGGATCGGCCTTTGTGGCTGCACTTCCGGTTAACTTTGTGGTTCCTTAGTTATCCCTAATTTCAGTTCTCCACTTCTCGAATGGGGTCCACGTAATTTTCACTGTTTCTTTTGGGGTACACACATTTTTTTCAGCTCCTCCACCTCTTTTGGGCTCCCAAAGGCTGCTCCGCTTATCTGCCTGAAGGTTCAACTCCCACCGTCGACCGCCACCGCTTGCGTCCAAGTCTCACTGGCTTCTGGCACTTTTTTTCCAACTCACTTTCCCAACCTGAAGCCACAAAGGCCTACCCTTATTTTCCTCAGCTGGAATCGCGACGAGCTGCTTCCAACCACCAATTGGAATATGTGTGTGCGAGTGTTTGTCTGCATATCATTATCATATGGTCTCGCATGCCAACCCCCTGGCCCAGTTGGCCCTCTCTCCTCGCCACCCTTCGACCCCAATCGCCACCCCCTCGAGAACCCAACCCCCACCCGAATTTCGGATGGAGAGAGGCATGCGCACAAGTGCACGTGGTGAGTTTTTCTCTCCTCTTCGTTTGAGCATTGCTTTTTTAAGGGCTCTCCACTCTACAGCGGGATTTCCACCACGTCAAATACCCCGAACCCTCGAAGAAGATCTCATCATAAAAACAAGAGATTTTCAAACTTTGTCTGGGATATCAATCCAAATATCTCGGAACTAAAGATTCCTTAGATCATTATGGTCTTATATTTTTTATTCCTAGAAGTATCCGTTAAGAACTCTCCGATTTGAAAAATATACATTCTTTTTAAAAGATTATCCTTCTTCTACTATCCTGAACCCCTGTCTTATGGAGAAGATCTTATCATCTAGGGTTACAGCATTGTAAGACACAAAAGATGTCCAATCTTCATTTGGGATATCGATCTAAGCATTATAGAACTATAATTTTCCAAGATCTTTTTTAACTTATATTTTTCTTTCCTGTAAGTATCTATTACGTAAGCACACCCCAACTTGAAAAATTATGCAACCCTTTCTATGGAAACTGAAATCACACCACGTAATAGATAAAGAAAAGAGTGAAAATGTTATAATAAGAAGGATATGTCTGAATATATACACAGGGTTTTATAAATCTCAGAAAGATCATCCATCGCAATTATAAAAAAATACAACAAATTATTAATAGTTTTCGCTGTAAAAACTTACTAATGGCAAATTTAAAAATGTATAATGTATTTATAAATTTTCTTTATTTTACCATTTTTTGTTTGTTTCATAAACGTAAACAATAGGCGACAAAGTTGTGTATAGCAGTTGAGGCGGTGATTTATGTCGATGGCTTCGTTCGATAATCGTTATATCTTCGTAATATATGGTGCACTCATTCGCATTTAATCGGGTTGAAAAATAAAAATGGAACATGCTCGCACATACACATGGTTGTTTTTAATATTTTTCGACATACGACCGAGGCTAGTTTATTTATTTGTTTGATTTACTTAACTTACGTAACGTAACTTAGAAGCAGTTTACATTTGTTTAGAACATTAATTGGCAGATAAAAAATGGCATGGTGGTCCAGGTCAGTAAATAGCACTTCGACCGGGGGATCCGTTTTTTTTCATTTTTGGTTAGTTTAAGGAATTTGTAGCAGTGTTGGTTCGTCGGTGTGTGTTTGTTGGTTTTTTGTTTTTGTTTTTTGTTTGTGTTGTGAGTGTGTGGGCGGGGGGCACACACACGATTCGTTGGTAAATTTAAGGCTTTACATTTAGATTAAACTTATGCTGTGTGTGCTGTGTGGGTGTCTGTGGGGGTGCTACTACTTGGCGGTCCTACGACGAGTTCTTCATGCACACCTGGCACCTGGAGACACGCGACTGCCGATCGCCGGCCTTGATCGTCTGCTGCTGGGGCTTGGCGAAGGGCTGTGTGGTGTCCAGGTTGAACATCCAGAAGCTGGTCATCGACTCGTAGAAGTGGCACCAGCCCTTGGCGCCGTTGCACTCGATGAAGGGTGTGGCGCGGAAGTCCTCCAAGCAGGAGCCAGGCGATTGCAGCGCCTGTCCACCGCCTCCGTTGCCCACAGCCGTGTGCTGAGAAAAGAGATTGGTATTAAAGGATTAGATTAGGGTACACTTTTTAATGTTTATAAAAAACTATTTAATAAGCCGATGAGAAAAAATCTAGGGTTGTTAATTTTATCAATGTCTAGCATAATACCAAAAATGTTTCAAATCGGAAATCACATTTTACTTATAAAATAAAACCTAGTCTATCGAAATTTCTTCAAAACGTTTGTTAAATTTATTTAATAATTTAATCGATAATGATACCATCAATTATTAAATATGTTATTGAGAACTGACGTTAGTGCTAAAAGATAAATATATTTTGCCAAACTATCCAGTAGATGGCGCATGCGCATCGTGTTTTAAGCAACCCTTATGATGCAAGTTGCACGTGCGCCATCTGACGGACAGTTTTCAAAAAAATTTTAAAATTAAATTTGAAACTGGAAATCTATAAACTGTAAATGGAGTTCCTGCTAAAAATTGGATACCTTTAGTGGTGTTATATGAATACAAATTTTAAGAGAACCTAAAAATGCTATCGAGAGGCTGTACTCACCATGACGAAGCTGTAGCCGATCCAGAGACCCTCCCAGCCATTTGGACAGTCGGGCACCTCTATCGTCTGGCTGTGCACGGCGATCACATTGGCCGGCGCCTCACAGACGACGCAACGGGAGATGTACTGCCGGATGGCCTCGTTCTCCACGGGCATCATCGGAATGGCGGCGTTGGTGGTCAGCCAGAAGGTCCTGTCGTTGCGCGAGGCGTAGTTGCAGACGTTGTTCTGACCGCAGGAGAGCACCGGCAGGGTGGAGAACCTGGGCACACAGGAGCCGGGGGATCCGAGGTCCTGGTTGTGGGCATAGTCATTGCCATCGACATACAGCAGGGAGTAGCCCGTCCAGAGCTCCGTGTGTCCGGCTGCGCACCTGGGCACCGTTTCCGATTGACTGTGTCGAGTGACGAGGATGCCGGTGAGGTAGTCCAGTGCAGCGGTGCACGGTGCTCCGGGTTCGCCCTTCACACCGATCTGACCAATAATACCGTCGAAGCCGCGTTCGCCCTGCTCACCACGATCTCCCTTGGCTCCGGGACGACCCACGTTTCCGGTCACACCGATCAATCCACGCTCACCCTTCTCACCACGCTCGCCCTGGATGCCGCTGAGGCCAACAGGTCCTGGGGGTCCCGTTTCACCCTTTTGTCCATTGCGTCCAGGCTGACCAGGCTCACCTTTGGGTCCCGGTGGCGGTACCATTCCCGGTTCACCCTTCTCTCCAGGCAGACCCGGTTGTCCGTCATGTCCATCGCGTCCCTTGGGTCCGGTGAAGCCACGTTCTCCAACAGGGCCAGGAGGTCCATCGTTGCCATCCAATCCCGGGTAGCCAATGTCACCCTTGGGTCCGGTCAAACCGATCAGACCAGGAGGTCCCTGGATTCCCTGGTCACCCTTGTCTCCCTTCTGTCCCTCGAAGCCGTTCAGACCACGTTCACCCTTGTAGCCCTGGGGTCCGGCATCACCCTTCAATCCGGGGGCGCCGGGGAAGCCATCCTGTCCAGGTTGTCCGGGAGTGCCAGCCAGGCCACGCTCTCCCTTGATGCCAGCCGGTCCAATGGGTCCAGGAAGACCCACAAGTCCGGGCTCTCCGGCCAAACCGGGCAGACCACGTTCACCCACCAAGCCAGGAGCTCCAGTGAGACCTGAAGATAAGGTTAATGTTTAGAATAAGGGTATGTTCCAGATGTTTAAGGTTCATAAACTCACCTTGACGTCCGTTCCTGCCGGAGCGACCGGGCAGACCCTTCTCTCCCTTGACGGTGATTCCAGGATAGCCGGCCTCTCCTTGAGGTCCGATGTCACCCTTGGCACCGGGGAAACCATTCAAGCCATTGGCGCCAGGTGGTCCCGTCAAGCCGCGATCACCCTTAACTCCTTCGCGTCCTGTCAGACCGGTTTCTCCTTGGTCGCCACGTTCGCCCTTCTCGCCGGTGTATCCTTGCTCGCCCTGTGCTCCCTTCTCGCCGCGCTCCACCTGAACGGTGGCCGGAAGACCTGGTTGACCACGGAGACCGCGCTCACCCTTGATTCCAGGAGCTCCGATGAAGCCTTGGAGACCAGCGGGTCCAGTGGCACCCTTGAGTCCATCCAGACCAGGTAGTCCCTGGTCACCCTTGTCGCCGCGAACGCCGGGATAGCCAGCAGGACCAGGAGCACCAGCTGCACCGGGCAGACCATCGATGCCAGGAGAACCGGGAATACCGGGAGCTCCCACCGATCCCTTCTCACCAGTCTGGCCCCAAACGCCCTGCAGTCCTTGGTCACCCTTCTCGCCATTGCTTCCGTCAAGTCCATCGAGGCCATTGCGACCCGCGTCACCCTTCTCGCCCTGCGGACCAGGACGTCCGTGCACGGGCAAGCCGGGCAGACCCTTCTCACCGGGCCAACCGGGCTCTCCAGCTGGTCCTGTATCGCCACGAAGTCCGGAAAGACCAGGTTCACCCTTCTGTCCCTTCTCGGAGGCATCGCCAGGCAGACCAGGAGCTCCATCCAGACCGGGGAATCCTTGGACACCCTTCTCGCCAGGCAAACCGTCCAAGCCAGGCTGTCCGGGGGCACCGGCCACGCCTTGGTCACCCTTCACGCCCATTAAGCCAGGAGCACCTTGGGGACCGCGTCCACCCACAGGTCCATCGTTTCCAGTCAAGCCAGTAGCTCCCTTATCACCCTTGGCACCTGGGGATGGAAAGAAAATAAGTAAAGGATCAAATAAAGTGGGTAATCAAGATCTTCAATATAATATGCTCTTCACAAAAGGTGTGCTCTAAGTTAAATCAACTTATTAACGCCTACATTTTAGAAGCAGGATAGTAATATTTTTAAACCATGAAGATTACTTAGATGTGATATAAAGTTAAACAAAAGAATCAAAGACTTATATCAGTAGTTGATATACTACAGAGAACTACTACAGAGGTTTTTAAGAGCTTCTTATGTCCTACTAAATAAGGAGAACTATTTGTGATCTTGACAATCCTCAAATAAGCCCAACACCCTATAAGTTTGATAATATATTATAGTACTACATGAACTTACCAGAAACACCGGGGATACCAGCGGGTCCGCGCTTTCCGGGAGCGCCAGTGACGCCAGCGAAGCCCTTGGGTCCATCGTTGCCAGGTGCGCCGCGATCTCCCTTGTTGCCGGGCATGCCGACGAGTCCAGGATTGCCGGGCTCACCCTTGGCGCCATCACGACCACGCACGCCGTCAATACCAGGAATA